CCTCTTAAGGAAGATTTCTGGGATAAAAATGTCCTGGCCCGGGACTCAAACTATCTCTATCCCAAATTTCAAGTTAATCGGTTCAGATTTAACAGACAAACATACAGATGTACACACTTTGGCATTCATAATATTAGTATGGGTATGGGTATAGATATAATAGGTCTTTACCTATGAAATTGCCGTTTTGTATGCAATAAGTAAAAGTACTTATTTTTTCAAACTTTTTTATTTCTGTTATTCGAAGTAATCACCTATGCAATCGACGCATCTTTGCCAACGCATTGGCAGTTTATTGATGCCCTTCTTGTAAAAATCAGCTGGACGGGAGGCAACAAACTCTTCAAAGGCATTTTGTACTGCCTCTCGGAAATTGAATTTTTTACCCACTAAAAAGTTGTCTAAATTTTGGAAAAAGTAATAGTCGGTAGGTCTGGTGAGTACCAAGCAACCAGCTTTGGTCAATCAGTCGTCCCTCTGCTCCTTCACGACAACGTGCGACCCCATACTGCGCAACAGACAGTCTCCAAGCTGCAAGAGCTGGGGTTGGAAGCTCTCCCTCATCCGCCATACTCACCAGACCTTGCACCTTGACGCGAATACGGAGTGTCGCCACGACACTCCGTATTCTTAATCCGTCTCCACACGGAGACGTATTGGGACTTAGTACATGTAATTTATTCAATATCTAATCTACTCGTATCATCGTTGCAATTATCACGTAAAATACCACTTAAGTCACGGTGCTAAGTCACTTAATTATTGTACTTAATACGGATAGAGTAGAGTACTTAATCGTACTTGCGTCATTACTACAGATTTTTTCTTTACATTTCCGTCAGTTTTTCTTGTCGGTTTGGAAGTAGCTCTTTTACAAATATTAATAACATAACAATGCTTAGGACACTTTTATCGCATAATAAGCACTTCCTACTAATAAATCCAGAAATATTAGTTTTAATTCATCTAGTGAGATCATCTGATTTAGAAGTAATAAATGTGCATTATCCCGAATATTCTGCAAAATATATGAAATGTTTCAATAGTTTTTAATAATGCTTATAAAGAACACTCTAATGGGGTGCAGAATCCATACTATTATTATAAATGCGAAAGTGTGTCTGTCTGTCTTTTACCTCTTCACGCTATCTCTTTACCAAATTTGGTACAGAGATAGTTTGAGTCCCGTTAAAACGTTTTATCCCAGAAATCATCCATTAAGGGGGTGTAAAGGGGGGTGGAAGTTTGTATGGGGAATCAATAACCGCTGAACCGATTTAGATTAAATTTGGTGTGGACATAGTTTCTTGAGAAAGGATATTGGCGTTTTACCTTGATAACCTACATACACCCGGGTGGAGGTAGTTAGGAGTTACTAACTAGCTATCTAGGAGTCTAGCTAGTTAGTAATAAATATTTTCACCATCCACTTTCTAGTGATTCGCACCATCATTACCGATTAGAATAATGTTTGACTCGTGGAAACCCAAAGCTGCTCAAGAGATTTACGATCCACCATCTGGCTCTATAATCGGATTAGCTTAAAGACTAATTCCTACCCTAAAAACCAATGAATCTTACCATTAGAAAATGGCAATAGCACCTTAAAGTATATAAATAAAATTTTGCAGCAGTTAGCACTACTTAAAAAATATTTAGTTATTTATTTATTAAGAGCATGGAAGACTTACAGCTACAGATGATAAAGACGATACAAATTACAATAGTTACCTGAAAGCCAATTACAAGTCTTTGCGTAGACCTCCTTTCTAAGGAGAGGCCTATGTCCAGCAGTGGACTAGTATAGGCTGTTGATGATGATGATGCGTATAGAGCTATATTAATAATTTAAAGTGCAATCTAAAAAAAACAGTATAAAAATATATATATCATATAAAACTTTTTAGTGTGCATATAAAAAAGATTATTCCGAAGAATCAAACATCCTCCAGTATTTGGGTTAAACCAAAACAACGTATACCTTATTTTTCACTTTTGTTTTTGTCCATACAAAGGTTACCTTCAGCGATAAGGCAGCCCATTGTACATATATATTTTTTGTGATTTTCGTGTATATTTTAATTTGTGTAGAATAAGGCTGAGAACACACTTGACTTTTTAAATTACAGGTGTCCAGTTGTCAGTCACCAGACCAGTCCCTGATTGCCCTTATATTATGAAATAACATAATATACTATGATATTGTCACGAAACATCACGGATATTCCAGAAAAATCTTTTAACTACGTACAACTACACTACTCGTAACACGTAACAATATCGAGAGTCTATCTTGACGAACACCGATGTGGCCCGGCGGTTACCATTCGAAGCTTCAAGGGTTCCATGTACGCGTAACTTTAATTACCTTACGAATTTCTTTTACTTTTTTTATGGTATAGGAGGACAAATCATGTAGGGGAGAGTAACCAATATTGAACAGGCGCTTAAATTGGACCACTTCTGTATTTCTACCAAAATGGCCTTTTTTTTTACACTAGCAACAAAAAAAAGACGCTAGCAGCCACTAATACTCCACCATTTTGTAGAGCTAGCAGCCATTAATACTCCACCATTTTGTAGCGCTCCTTTTTGTGCCAATATACTGTACTAAGTGACTTGCTGTCTTTGAATTCCTCCGCCACAGAATTAAGGGGAATGGGGGAGTTTGGGCCGGGGTAACTTTAATCAATCGGTGAAAAGAAACGAAAAGAATGCTTAACACCGGTATTCTAACCGTATTACCACTCCGGTATAGCCAGCCTATATACCTATGTTGAAGCATTGCTCTCACATGGCTAAATGTAACGGTTTCACAGTTACTGTCTGAAAGTACAATAATTACCGCAAAATATATTTTCTATATGCTTTTCAATGCCACCTTTTTATGTAGTGTATATACAAGAACGTTTTTAGAAGCTGATACTTTAAAAAGGTTACGCTGATAGAAGCCAAATATTAATCGAAACAACATAAAGTTTACACATACACAAACAGTTTTTTTTTTATATTGTACTTTAAACCGTTGTCAACAGGTTTTCTTGCGTATGTGTTTATTCATAGCATATGTTTTAATACACCGATGTTTTTTTCTCTATGCTTTTATGTAGTCATACCAATAACAAAAACAAAGAGCTTCCAAATTAACCAAAGTATTTGATGTCCACTGTGGGTTAAACACATATCATTTAAATATTTAAGTTCTGCTGTTAAACTTCTGTATAAACTGACTGACCATAAGTTTAGTGGTCTGTGTTTTTCTCTGCACAAGACTGGTCGTGGGTTCGGTACACCCACCCAGAAATAGTAACTGTGTTGTTATTGTACTATGGTAGTCAGACTACTGATTAACGTACTTATATATTTAAAAATACATACATACTATAAATAAATTACATCCAGACACAAAACAAATGATCGTGCTCGCCACACAATATTTGTCCTGGGTAGGAATCGAACTCACGACCTCTAGATTAGCATTCAGGATCTCTAACTAAGCACTAGACTAGACCGACAGACCGACTAAACAAGTATAATAATAAAACTACGTACAACAAACAGGAGAAGGTTCTTAATTTGATTTTATGTTTTTCCTCAAACCTCCGTCACTTATGAACCGTTTTGGATTTTTTTTTATGAAATGACATATTTCTCGTTCGGTCCCTTTCAAAATTGAAGACAAAATTACACCCCTAAAGGTGCAAATTAGGTAAGGAATCAAGAATCAGTTTATTACAATTCATCATTCATTTTTTGATTTTTTTTATTTCATTGATTGATTTTAAATAAATATGGCGCACTAAATTATTATACTTATATAATTATATATTATTCTACATATATATATGTAGAATAAATGTAGAAAGGTAACAAATATTAAACAATACGTGACAAAAATAATTACATATAAAAATAAAAATATGTAAGCTACACAAGAAGGTGCAAGTTCGGGTTCAGTATATATTTATTTCAACATCAACAGCCTATACTAGTCCACTGCTGGACATAGGCCTCTCCTTAGAAAGGAGGTTTTGGCCTACTATATACTATACTATATATTTATTTACACCTGTTATAATACAAAGGTCTATCTTAAAGTCTCTAGCAGTTAAAGTTATACTGGTCGATACAATAAAAAAACAAATACAATCGTCAGGTAGGTACTTATAATAATAACATTTCAGACATCTAATACACAACGCCATCTAGTTTCAAACTAAGCAGAGTTTGTACTATGAAAACTAGATTGACTGATAGAATACTTATTATACATTTTTTTCTACATATTATACACAGAAAATACCCAAACTCCGAAACAAATATTTGCAGTTCATAAAAACATTTGGTCCGACCGACTGTTTGTCTGACCACTACACCACCGAGGTACTCATACAATTTGTAAGTATTTAGACAGGTGTAAGTGTGTTTATCAGCAGTCTGGTTACCATAGCACAGGCTTTGTCTGGCAGTTTGAAATCAGACTTCCGCATGTGAGACGTATGAAAAACTAGAAATGTTAATAATAATATTTAATGTCGAAATGATTTTTTACAAGTTTATATTTATAATTAGCATGCTCATTTCTTTTGTAAACTCATTATTAATACTAATTTACTTTAAAATAACTTAAATAGTGTTTTTAAAAATATTATATAGTGTTTTTAAAAATATTGTTAATCGATCGAATTAAATATTATATGTATTACTTAAACCAATGGGAAGTACCCATAGAAAAAAAATCCACAAAGAAAGCCTTTTTTTTTCCATTTCATCAATTTCCTTGCCAATTTTTTTAAATGATTCAAATTTAAAAAAAATATAACAATTGTACAACCATTCTCCAATTATACACTTCATCAACAGCCTTTACTAGTCCACTGCTGGACATAGGCCTCCCCTTAGAAAGGAGGACATAGGTCTACACTTATCAAGAAGTTAATTTTAATTTATATAAAAAATAAAAATAAACAAGATGAAAAGTACAAAAAGAGAAAACTTACTTAGTGTGTAACGATCCCCATTCACAGTGAACGATATTCTAGCCATGTTGTCTTTTATTTTATTTTTCAACCGTCACTCCGTCACTTAACAAAAACGTATCATTACAAGATTGTCAAGCAAGTACGGCCAGACAAGACTTTATCATCGTAAGACGCGATATGAACTGAACAGAAACTCACTGTTTATAGCTCTTGACATGTTAGGGTCTGTTCACAATAGTACGGCCGGCCTTAAATTTGAGGAAAAAATATATACTCTAAGAATTGTATTGCTGGGTGTTATTTTTTTTTGGTTTTTGTTACGAAATATTCCGGCGCAGTACCAATGATAAGGTACTATTTATGGCAATTCTAAATCTCTCATTACCAAAATATCATAGATGGTTATAAGTTTGAAGCCTTTAGAAAATATTGTTTACTATGTAGTGTTTTATAATATACTTTGTCCGTGTAGTGACGGATTAAGAATACGGAATGTCACTACCCCAATTCATCCCGTGGGTGTCGTAGGAGCCGACTAAGGGCGCAAAACAACGCAGGACAACAGCACTTCAGAGAGAAGGAAAACTTGACACAAACCCTATACCAACCCGTCTGGCCAGCGTGGTATAGTAGGCCAAAACCTCCTTTCTAAGGAGAGGCCTATGTCCAGCAGTGGACTATTACAGGCTGTTGATGATAATATACTTTACGTTCGTACTATTTTGTTACTATTCTCTATTTTGTTTGTGTATTAATAACTTACCTCACCATTTCAAGGACAATCTCGAGATTGTGTTGTTTGCAGATGATTCATCCCTATTATTTAGAATAAAACGGACACTTATTAATTTCACAGTCATAAACATCGACATTTCAAAATTGGTTAATTGGTTTGACGTCAACAATTTACTTTTAAATGAACAAAAAACTAAGTGTATACGTTTCACTATGCCAAACGTCAAGCCCGTGAAAACTACTGTGATAATTAAGGATGTCGAGTTAGACCTTGTGGATACTACGACATTTTTAGGTATAACACTAGATTCTAAGCTACAGTGGGGCCCATATATTGATAAATTATCCGAAAGTTGACTGATGTTGATACGATTTACTTGATTTGCTTCAATTATTTTCATAGCATAATATCGAACCGTATTCTACTGTGGGGGAATGCTGTCGATATTCAAAAAGTTTTGGGACTGCAAAAGAGCAATTTAAAATTTACTTAATCGTTACGGCAGAAATTTAAAGAAATAAACATAATGAAAGTGGCATGTCATTTTATATGAAAATGTAATATATGTTCATAAAAACATGGATTGCTTTTCGAAAAGAAGTAATGTACTATAAATTCTATAAATACCATAAAAAGAAATAAACTTGTAGTACCTGCCTCTAGGCTCCAAAAGTCGTTTCGAGGTCAATGAATCCGATTTTATAATAAAATCCCAAACTATATTCAAGACTTCTTTAATCAACGTAACTTCAAGACTATTAATAGTCCCAAATAGTATTCATCATCATCATCTACAGCCTTTAATAGTCCACTGCTGGACATAGGCCTCTCCTTAGAAAGGGGGTTTTGGCCTACTTTTGGTTTTGGTTTTTATTTTTCCTTCTCTTTGCTGTGCTGTTGTCCTGCGTAGTTTGATTCCTTAGTCGGCTCTTACCATACCCACAGGATGAATAGGGGGGTGACGCTCTGTATTGCAAATCCGTCACCACCAATTTAAATCCGTAATAAAACGTAAATTATGTTAGAAAGCCTATTACTCAATTGTGGATTACATAGAAGACAAAAATGCTTGAGATTAATTTAGCGCATCCGATTTCTTAAGTGGAAATGTGATGTGGACTAGTGTGTTTTTTATTAGTATGTTTTTCCTATTTTTTATGTTTCACTTCACTTTCTCTTTATTCGATCTTTTTTCTTAATCTTGTTTTCTCTTCATTGTCTTTTTAAATTTTAGTCCTTAATAACAGACATACTGGCATACATCAAAACAATGTTGTGGTTAATTTATTTTATTTTATACTTTATGCATAATTATGACAAAGACGGACTTAATGTCGTCTCCCAGTCGATCTTAGGGCAATGCAGAGCTAAAAACTGGTAGATGTACAGAAATTAAAAATGTGACTTTATGAAAAATATAGCATATATACAATATCATATACTCAGGGTGCTTATATAAATTACATTAGAATATATTTTAATAAACTGTTTGCTTGATGCTGTACGGCATATGCAACAACAAGTATAATTGTACGGAATTATCAAACAGGATATGTTATGTAGTAACCCAGGACTATTATTCGGAGGGAGGTGCGCGTACCTCTATTATTCCACTCGGCAAAGTGTAGAACTAATGCTGGAGAGCGTGCACCTCTTCGCCGATTATTGACAACGTACAACTCACATGTTACGAGCTTGGATATTTTCGCTCTCACTCACACTAAATTAAAAAAAATGTTATTGAAATTCTTGCTGATCAATGATGTCATTTTTTAATTAACTATATATCTATCCTATGTTATAAAATATAATTAATCGAATGTGTATAGTTTGCCTCCGTTACCCTTTCTCCTCCAACTATAAACTCGTGGACAATAGTATGGGTTATACGTTTTAAATATGTAAATGCTAAATTAATTATAAAGACTGCAATGTATAACTGTTTTTTTGTCCCAAATAAATAAAATAAATCTGGATACATATACAAAAGTAATAATGATACTTATAAATCAATACATAAGAATTTATATATATGTATGTTTATGTATACATGTGTGTATGTATAAATGTGTATATACATATGTATATATATATATATATACACATTTATACATATATTATACATACACACAGTAAATTTTATATTCCATGGATATATTTCACTATGCCATTGTATCTATCTGTAAATTGCAAAAGAGTGGCCATGAGTTTGTTTGCCCTTGCTTCTCATAAGGCTCAACCCCTTGGAAACGGGGCCTGAAGATCGGCACAGGCATATCATAGATTGTGTGTAGGTTTAATTTTTATTAAATTTATTTGCTTACTATTTGACAAAACAGAGATTGTTGCTTTTGTGTGTGTTGATCTATGACTTTAGTTTAGAGTCGACATAAAAGACAATTTCAATCATTTTTGTTTTTTTATAAAATAAATATATTTTGAGTTTGAGTACGTTTTTTTATGGCATAAGGGACCAAACGAGCAGACGGGTCATCTGATGGTAAGCAACTACCGCCACCCATGGACACCTGCAACTCAAAAGTCACAAAAGTCACAAAAGTCACAAGTACGTTGCCGCTCTTGGAGTCCCTCTCGCTCGAGTCAGCGGGAGACGGGATTTACGCTCCGGTAACCTCACTCACTCAGTGAAAGGCAACGAAAGAATTGTTTAACACCGGTTTCTGTGAGGCCGTGGTATCACTCCGGTCTCCCACGGTAAAACACGTTTTACCGTGTAGTAGACCGTACCGTGTAGTACTCGTAGTAGTAGTACGAGTATCGCTAGCAGTTTGAAGGTTTGAAATCCCTCTTGGAATTGCACCTTAACACATCGCAACTGCAATAATACCTCCGACAGCACGACTATATCCTCTAAGGGGTAGACAAAGGCCCGCATTTTACCGACTATAAATGTAGTCTTACTTACGAAATTATGTCCTTTGCTTATTCAAAAAGTGGCGCCATGGATATAGTCGTCACCCCTTGCACATGGTGTGCTTGAAGGTTTACTATATAACGTGTTATTTCCTACGCAGTTGTAAACATAAGGTTTTTTATTCATTCACAGAAAGTATATGTAAATGTTATACGCTCGTTATGTAGTCACGAGCTGTGTGTAGTATTATGGACTTGGCACACTGGTCTTCACTAATTTTAAACTATTGGTATACTCAGAATATCTCCTATAAGAGGTCACGTCAAAATTAACCATGATTTCGTCTCTTCAGTTACGTTTTCTATGAAAAAAGGTAAGAAATGGCTTATATGTAGCGCTTTGAAGCTCGGTTTGAACATATAAATGTACGTATTTCTTATAAAAAAAAAATCTGTAAGATCTCATCTATTTACTGTCGTTGGTTTTGGATACAAAATGACCGATAAGAAACAACTCCTCCTTAGTATAGGTTGGATCTATTTCCTAAAAGAAATTACTAAGAAGCTAAGTTTTTTGGGATATAAGGAACTTTGTGTTAATACTAACCCATACTACGAAGATTAATTGGTGAATCATCAACAGCCTTTAACAGTCCACTGCTGGACATAGGGCTCAACTTACAAAGGAGGTTTTGGCCAGACGGGTTGGTATAGGGTTTGTTTCAAGTTTTCCTTCTCTAGTTGTTAAATGTAACGGTTGATATATGTAATACTTTAACTAACATTAGATTACTCACCATAGTTATATATATATATCACACATCTCACACACGGCCTTCTGATTCCAAACTAGACAGAGCCTGTACTATTGTAACCAGACTGCTGATAAACATACAGCTGATTAAATAGATACATATTATCGATAAATTACATCCAGACACAGAACAAATGACCGTGCTCATCACACAATATTTGGCTCGTTCCGGCCGTACAGGCCCGTCCGAATTAATTTGTGAGATTGTGACGGGTCTGTTGGTCTAGTGGTTAGTGATCCTGACTGCTAAGCCGGCGGTCGTGGGTTCGAATCCTACCCAGGACTAATATTGTGTGATTTTCACGGTCATTTGTTCTGTGTCTGGGTGTAATTTATCCACAATATGTATGTATTTAAAATATATAGGTATGTTTATCAGCGGTGTGGTTATCATAGTACAGGCTCTGCCTAATTTGGGATCAGACGGCTTTTATTTTACGCGGATTTTAATGCTTACTTCTGAATCCATCATCATGTATTGTGTATACACCTTGTGAAACGTACAAAAAATATATTTTAGGGGTTAAAGTATGAAGTTGCAGATTTGTACTGAAAAAATTGAAACTTATTTTTTTTCTAAGATATAACATATTTATTTAATCCAAAATATATGCCCTTATTATCTATACATTGATACCAT